AGTGTCCTCAAAAAGTCTATAAAACAATTTGAGCTTACAGAGCGCTGCTGGCAGAGTGTAACTGGAGCAAAGAACTGAGCTCACATCACTGCTGTCCTGAAGTTCCTGCACTGGCTTCGGGGTATTTTTAGGGTACATGTTTAAGATCCTGGTAATATAAATGTATTTTCATGCTTGACTGTAGAGTTGCTATACTCCAAAGTTATGTCCCTGACCTCTGTATTGCCCTCAAATCCACAGACTCTATGCTGCTTACTGTACCAATGATTAAAGACTGGTGAAGCTGCCTGCTGCAGTATTGGACCCAAAATACCTGATAAGAATACAGCTGTTATTGCACTACTACCCCTAACCATGTATGCATTTACTGTTAAGTTTTAAGATATTAAAATCCAACCTTTTCTTAAAACTTTCCCTTTTGCTCTGTGTAGTGTATTGATTCAGTGTTTTTCAGTGATATTCTAAGTGTAAAGTTTACTTGTTCTAGACAACAGAATCGTTGCCGACATCTCAATTCCGGTACATATGGTTCTATGCCTAATGACAGATGTTTTCCTCATTGGAAAACAATCAAGCCAATTAGGTTTGTTGTTGAGAATATGAATAGGGACATCTTTATCTTCGCACACCAGAATCATAAAAATGGCCATAAAAATTGTGACAAATGTGGATGAGATGGATGCTGTTGAAAACATCTTTGTCAATTAGTACAATTCTTCAATCAACTCAACAGGTGTTATCTGCGTGAGGTCATTGAAAAGTTACACATTGGCCTTTTGACAGTGATTAAGTCAAACTGAGCAAGAGAGTACGTATACAGGGGGCTAAGGGAAAGAAAGAAAGAGACTGTGCACAGCATTGTGTGTGTGTTTACCAATCAGTGAGTGTATGAGGTGGGGAACTTTGAGCCTTGGGTGTGTTCACAGTGTACAATAATAATACAGCATCTGTCCTCATCCCCTGTTCAACTGCCTCTGAAAATGTCTTCAAAGGAAAACACACATGTTTACTGTCATGCTGAGAGCCATGCACGGGGTGAAAAGACATGAATAGAGGGTCCCCAGAGGAGGAGGAGACAGGGAGTGATAGATGGATAAGAGGACAACAGCACAGGGAAAGGGAAAGAAGAGAGTAAAGGATAGAGGAGTTGTTGCAAAAAAATGAGATACCTGCACACAGTAAATTCGGATGTGAGCATCTCTAACTAATGGCACCCCCTTGACTATAATGTCAAACACAGTTTTGTGGGGTTTTTTTGGTAGTTTGACATGTTGTCTTGACATGTTTTTCTGTCAACTGAGGCATATTTTGCTGTTTCTTTTAAGAACAGTCTGCTTTTAAAGGCCATTTTCTCTAAAAATGACAATCATTTATCTTATCTTTTCTCAGTGCTGGTAGAGCAACTTGTCTTATCTGTTTCAGGATATTAATACTTGCTGCCAGAAAGTTAGAAAAGAGAGATGTCAGATGAGACACAAGTTAACAGCTAAAGATGGTTTATGCTGAAGTCTGTCTGTATGAAGTATGTATGTTTTTTAGAGAAACTCCACATACTCAGATACTCACGTTCATGTTGTGAGGTTATGTATTGCAGCTTTTGCGGTTTGTGTTTGTTTTAATGGGCACCATTTCTGTCTTTAGCTGAGATGCTTTGGTTGCATCTGTTTGCTATGATACAGAATACTGATGGAACTAAAAGTGTCAGCACAAGGTAGAGTACCTGCTCTGGATGAAGGGAAGGCTGGAGCTCATAAGCCCTGTTTCCACCGAGCAGTATGGTGTGGTACAGTTCAGTTTGGTACGCTTTTTTTTCCATGTCCACAGTGAAAAGTTGTCGGTGTTACCAATTGAACCATTCAGTACCGTTACCATTTTTGGTCCCCCCTCTGTTGGGGTACCCAGCACACAGATCTGGTACTAAAAGGTGGAACTGTGAACACTGCAGTCCGTTGATTGGTCGACTGCAGACAGTCACTCTTGCTTAGGGCTGAGTTGTGGCTGGTTTTGAGACTTATGTAACCACTGTTCATACTGTGGAGAGTTTTACATATATTAGTAGACTGTAACTATAAAATAAAAGGATGTTTTGCTGCATCTTGCAGCAGCTGGAGTCAGAGAAAAAATAATTCAATTCACTAGGCCGACAGCCGGTGACTTTGAAATTGGAACATTAACTTGTAATGATACTCAATGCATGAGTTGATGGGAATCAATCAGCACACCTTAAATTTCACTGGGACAACTATGACTACTCCATTAGTTTTTATTCTCTCTTGGATGACATACGCTTTTAGTAATGAGTGGATCTTCAAGGGTTTATGTATAATAATTTCAGCTGGGTTATGTGAACTACATATATTCTAATCCTCACTTGAAGACAAAAAAAAGCATTGCGGAGCGCCATTTCTGTGGGCTACAGCAACACTAAACCCCCAAGCTTGTCTGAGAAGGACTAAATGCACAAACTCGCTATTTTTTAAATATCCCATGGAGAGAGACTCTTACTGCACCCTGTTCTATTTTGTTCTGAAAATGTTGGCGTGCAGCCCCGTTCTGTGGACAATAAACGAGGTGCAGACTTGCCTTTGTGTCACCGGTGACGAGGAAATACAGTGAGTGCTGGACGGAGCAGTGAGTGACAACAACTGCACCCGCATTTAAGGGTACGTTTGTGATGGAAACATAAGCTGACCTAGGGTCAAGGTGCCATATCTGAAGGGTTACTTTTGGTTCCAGAGGTACCATGCAGAAAGTGTTTGGTGAAAACTTGGCTATAGGGAAAGAGGAAGGACCCTCTGGTCTGTGTGGGTTCAGTATTCATTTCTCCTACATTGTTGTTGTTCAGCAATGTGATGGGTGGTCTTTGTGGTCTTTGTCCTGCCCCTGTCCACTGTGATTGGATGAGTGGGTAAAAAGTGACAATGATCAGAGGCTTCAGCGTTCTACCCAAAGTTGAATATTTTACAGCTCTTGTTGACCAGAAAAAATAGCTACCCAACACTAGGCTTGGGCAGCATCTATTTTTTTCATATCTTTATACTTTCTGAAATGTTACTGGGGTATGCAGTACATGACAGTGAAACGTCCTCATTACAGCGTCTCTACTATAAGATTAATAGAAAGATGAGTGTCTGTATTTTTGATGATATTGAAAATCATAACGTCTGTATTTCTACCCTGGTATACAGTAATACTGCCATACCACCAAAGCCTACAGTAAGTAGCTCCTCATTAAGCTGCTGGCATTTGTAGCATCATGTAAATACGTGGCATTCCCATAAGAAAAAACAGCAACGTAGAAGTTGTGGCAAAAGTTTCCCATCCATTGAGGCTGGCTTGTCAATAGCACAGTATTGCAGTACTGTGATGATCTTGAGAGCCCTCTGTTACATTAGCTACTCTGACAGTTGGTAGCTCAAAAATAATGTTGGTCACCATGGCTGCAACTAATGATTATGTTACATATTTCACATTGTCTGGTGCTACCCAGTGCCTCACACTTTCCAGAATAATCTGGTGAAACAAGCAGTTCTGAAACCTTGATGATAAAAACTTTGACTTCTGTCATATCTTCATTAATTTGGACACCATATAGCCATCAAAGGTTTTGACATTTTTGAAGTGATCTCATGATGTCACTGACTTTCAGTGAGGCAACTAAGCACAACAAAGTAGAGGCCACAAAGGCAGCTCAGTCATTCCTGGAAGTAGCTGTTGCTCTGTGGAAGGGTCAGTAGGTATGAAGCACTTTTTTTCTGGTGTGGGCATAAATTCTTTCTGCTGATACACACAGCTGCTGGCAAGTCACTATGGAAACAACATCAGCACTAAATGAAGCTGAAGCAGCATGTTTTGATAAAAAAAAATAACATAAAAAATAAATTACACTGTGAGAAAACCAAGACTGCAGCCAAACCTCACCACTGTACAGAAAGTGAATGTATGGAGTTTGTCTGAACCCAGAACCAAAAATGACTTTGGACTGAAGCCAAGGCCGAGCATCTCAGACTCTGCCAACCCTAGTTTAAGTTTTTAATGTAATAAAACACCCAGATGTGTCTAATAAATTATATTTCTCATGAGATAATAAGCCTGGGGTCACATAATATTTTGATCCACAGTGACTGCTTTGACTTAAGACTAGTCCTCAGTTCATAACCAGGACAAGGAAGGATTGGATGTCCTTTGGCTGAGTCTTGATTCTGTTCTGGCTTTTAGGCCAGACTACATCTGTTCTGCTCATTCAGCTGAGGATGAGTGGTGTTTGGAGGCTAGGCCTCAGTGCTTTGAAATGAAATCTTTTCTGCCTCTACACCTCGCCACTTTGACAAGCCAGACTAGAGGGGGCTGACAGCAGACAGAAGTCACCTAAGTTGTTTTCACTTGACCTGTCTTTTCAGAGCAGGGCGGGGAGAGATAAGCAGACAACACATTAAGCTCTTTGCACCTGAGGACAAGAGAAATATACAGTCAGAGATAGAAATTACAAAGTGATATTCCACTGAGTTTGGACAGTAAACACAGACAACGTTCTCTACCTGAGACTTCATTGTGTGTGATCACCATGTGATGTTGGTGGACTCTGTGACCTATATTGTTAATTTTAAACTGCATTTCCTGCCTATTGTGTCTGTTTGAAAAAAATGAACATGTTTCTGGGTCAAATCTTCACAGTGGAAAAATAACTCAGTACATGTGGACTTCAGTATTTCCTGGAACAATCCCCTGGCACATGAAAAGTGATAGATTTTTACCTTTCTGGTTTGGTTGGAGAACTGGGTCGCAGGATAATGAAGAAAAGAGCACCACCTACAGAAACTCAAACTTAGTCAAGAGAACATCCAAACAAAAAAGGCATTGCAAAACTGAATAAAAAATTTTTAAACACTGTACAGAAATGAGCATTCTGAACGAAATGGCAACAGAAAAGTGGTTTGAGTTGTTTTCTGAGAAGTAAAACTGCATTTTTTGTTTTTGTGTTTCTCTCCTCACCCACCCAGAGTCAGGCCATGCGGATTGTTCGGACAGTCGGCCAGGCGTTCGAGGTTTGTCATAAACTGAGTCTGCAGCACACGCAGCAGAATGCAGATGGACAGGAGGACAGCCACAGCGAAAAGAACGGCAACAGCTCCTCTGTCTCAGGTACACAAACACACACACACACACACACACACACAAGCTGAACATGCACCTTCTACTCAGTCAGCATCCCATTCTTACTGGCCTGCATTTTGTATAACTGTTAAATACTGCTGCTCTGACCTCAAGAAGTTTTTGGAAATCCTGATATTTATTTTCTATCTTTTATCAGAAAATGTAGCCATTTGTGTTTACTGCTTGTTCACTATGTAATAACTTTAAACAATCAGAAGGTGGCATTGGACAGAAGAGCTGCAGTGTGTGCAGGGTAAATGTTTTGCGGGGTAGTGCTGCATTTTAATCAAAGTAGCTGAAAGGGAAAATGTATCTGTTGCAACCTTGAAGCTCCTTCAAGGTCCATGAAGTGAAGTCAGTGATAAATAGATAGCATGGGAAACAGCTATAAAGGTATCTTCTTTTGTTGTTATACCTTTATACAGAGTTGTTTTTGGTATTCTTGGAGTGTCCTAAACACTGATGCACATTTCAAGGGAAGGTGAGCTAATGCTGTCTGTGACGTATTTTATCGTGTGTAACACAATGTCTTTAGGCGGTTTAACAGATGTAAACAAAACAGAACAGCAATAGGGAAAACAGAGGCAGGCAGGCGTGTGTAGGTGGAGCTGGACGGTTGAGTGTTCAGTGTGCTCAAGCGGCGACTGTGCTGATGGAAGAGGTGGAGGTTCTTCGTGGTTGCAGATGTAAAAATGTGTGAATGCGTCTTAAATCAAGAACAAAAAGTGTTGGAGAGGAAACTCCTGGAACTGTTTTGACATCCAAAACAAGCTTGTGTTTTGTTTGTTTGTAGCAATGGCGCTACATTTTAAGGTCTCAGCAATTGTTTGTGGAGTAAAATCAATACAGATAAAACTAATGGCTATAGCTTCAAAAATAAAACCAAAGATTTACAATTCCTTTGAAGAATTTGTGGCAGGGTTGTAGGTTTGGGGTTTAAAACAGGATGGAAGATGGAGTTTGTGGAAGAAGAAGCCAGGATCCATTGGCCCCCTTGTGAACAAGGTTTCAGCCCAGTAGTAGAGCAGAGCATACCTCACCTCATCCTTTTAGGAAGACAAGATATACAAACCAGGAGGGAATGGTATTTTTAGGTCATGGAATAAAAAAAAAAAAGATATATGGAACTGTATCATCAGGGCCTTGGTGGAAATTGAATATAAAGTCCAAAAATAATGCAAAATCTGAAATCTTGACAGCACATTCCCTAGTGCACACAGTCTCACACACACACACACACACACACACACACACACAGTCATATGTCCTCAGATAGCATAAGCAGATTGCACTGTACACACAGTCCACACACACACACACAGTGCTCCTTCCTGCCTGCATTGTGCCAGAGTTGGCGAGCAGGAGAGGGAGCTGGATGCTGGAGTGAATGTCACGGATGAGTCAACCCAAAGAAAGAAGGCACCACACAGCAACACTGGTGGGCTGAGCTGCTTTTATCTGCTGCCTCGTGCCTGGACGGGACGGGCTTCACTGGAGCCCAGGGACACGTGGCTCTGAGAGGGGTCTGAGAGGACAGACATGGGGATTTGTCAGTCGAAAGAGTCCACGATCGGAGCTCTCTCACACCATCGTTCCAGTCATTACAGCTGCCAGCCAGCGCTGGTCACCCTCCCTACCGCGATCTGAGAGCGCCTGTCGGGGGTACGTTATCTCCACATCCCCCTCCAGCCCTCCAGAGACGACTTCTCTTTCAAATACTGATGAGCCCAGAGATCACCCACACACCATAACTGTACATCCACACATAATGGAAGGACCCCACATGCATACCAACTCAGGCCTATACACACACACTCGCACACTCGCTGTCATGGTGTGTTAAGCAACACAAGAGCCGTCACGCACAGCCAATGAGCTTATCTGGAGAACTAATTATCATGGCAATGAAAGGAGAAGGGATAGAAGAGTGGGAGATAGCGGATTAGGGAAACGGAAAGCTGGAAGAAAGCACGGATATGGAGGGGAGGAAGAAGAAAAGATGGATATTAGAGGAAAAGGGGGAAAAAAGGAACTTGGGCTGAGACGAGAGGAGCACAAAAAGATAAAATGTAGAAGTTGTGAGGGGATGGGGAAGTAGGTTGAGCAGTAGGGAATCAGAAGAAAAAGCCAGTGAGCAGAAAGTGCAGGGAAGAGATGTTTTGTACTAGACGAACGTTCATGTGCAGCGTTTCAGAGCAATTGTACAAAATGCTACAACATCAAATGAACAGTTTAATCTTATTAACAAACAAATAACTGTGTAGAAAAACTGGCTTTCATCACTGTCTGGAACTAATAAAGCCCACTCACTGGAAAATAATGCCAAACTGTGGAATACTATTATTACAGTACACATTAACATGAGACATGGCAGTGCCACAGGCATGCAGTTCCATTCAGCAGCTCAGTGATCACTAAGTACTGAACACTGAAATAAAGCCTTCAGGACATGTAAAGTTGTCAGCAATATTCAGAAATATTAATATACTGTGCAAAAAGTGTTTTTATGACCAAGCTATTTCGGCTCATTCAGTTTGACTTTCCGACTTTGTTGTCTTTACAAAGGAGACATGCTGCCCAGATGTTTCCAATGCAGTAACATTTGTTTAAGTATGTTTCTAAATGAAGAAGAAGGCAGATCATGTCTCTGGTATCTTGTTATAACTTGTGTGGTCATCCATGTGCTAGAAAAACAAAGTCATAAAAATAAGTTGGACGCATTGCAACAATGCGCATTTTAGCATAAAATATGAATTATGTATTGCACTGCGTATTTCAAGTCCTCCTCCAGACACATTTTAAATATGTAAAATACTCTGCTGTGATTAATATTTTTTTAACGTGATTTTCCCACATAAAAAGTTTAAAGAAAAAAAAAACTGCAGAGGGGCTGGAGGCAGATCTATTCTTTCTCCCTCACTCGAAATTCTGGATTTGGCCTCCACTCCGCCCACCACTGCGGCTTGCACTAGGTGTCACTTTCTGCTTTATCCAGCACTGCTTGTGCTGGGTTAACCAGTTAAAGAGCAGTACACATCAATAGAGGAAATATCGTAGAGATTCAGTGTTTGAGCCTCAACGTTTTACCCCAACTAAGATTAGGAGACTCTTTGGCCTATTGTATGTGAAACATACAATATCTGCCACAGTGTTACAGTACATTTACATTGGTCTGATTTACAGATTTGCTCTCAAAAAACTGTTTTCCGAATTAGACAGCAATTGACTTTTGTATTATTGATGTACCTAATCTAGCTCGTTTGAATCTCAGATTTCAGTGAAATGCACAAACTTTGCTCCTTAAGTAGAGGAATGTGAAAACACCTCTCTGGTGACAAACTTTGCACAGATACAAGTCAGCATAGTCAAGGTCAGACATTGTAGGGGACATAAGAAGACACAAGAGGAACACCTTTTTTAGTCGGAGGGGGACGTAAGATTTCCTAACATAATAATGCTAATACAAAGATACATTTCAAGAGCCCATTAGTACTGCTCAGGAGTCCACATAGCCAGTTGGTTAAAGGATAAAGACAATGTATTAGTGGTCTAAGATGCATGCCCCATACATCATTCAACTCTATCTCCTCTCTTAAGTTAAAAATAAAGGCAAAGTACCAACAAAATACATAAAAAAAACTACCAATTAAAGGCCAATCAGCCGATGAATGAGAAACAAGTGCAGTTATTAGACCACATACTGTATATAACACAGTCTATAAATTTAGGCCACATGTCAAAAATATCTCATACCATTCATGGTTTAGTTTAAAAAAAAGGCGTCTTAAAATAACTTGATTAAAGCAAGTGATTATAAAACCAATAAATGACATGTACAAATGGATATATTTTGATATTTCTATTTGCTGCATAGTAAAATAAATAGCTGCCTCGCCACAAGGAACTGTGCCGTTTTCTTCTGACCGTTTCATTAACTTTAACCTGAGAATGTCAGCGAGGGCAAAGAGGAGGTGAAGTTGGAGAGGAAAAGGAAGAAGGGGGGGAACAACAGGAGGAAAATACTTTTGCAACAGAGGGCAGGAGGAAGGGCAGAATTGCACAGCGCTGATTGCTGAGTAGAAAGGTGGAGAAAGCAAAGTGGTAATGGAGAAAGAGGTGACGGTAGTGCTGGCAGCAGGTTATCAAGCATGAGGTTTAAGTGGAGGGGGAGGACAGTACTAATAGCAGGGGGCACAGAAAGAAGAAAGGAAGTATAAATGGAGAAAGAGGTGGGTGAGGGTGAAGGTGGATGTGGGATAGACAGTGGAGGTGAGCGGCTGAAGGAGAGGATGAAGAGGAAGGAGATGAAGATAGAGGATGGGCGAGGGGAAAGATGAAACATAGAGGAAACAGTTCGCAGATACAGGCAGAAAACTACATTGAATACTCGATCGGATCTGGAGTGTGAGTGACTCTGTGATGACATTTGTCATTGTTGAAGCACTTTTAGTCGTTGAAGACCCAAGTTATGCATTTGATGTAGAATAAACTTGTACTCACGGTCAGTCTTCATTTTGATGAATAATAGATAAACTTGATAAGCCAAAGTTGATCTTAAATGAAAAGATGTTTAATACAAATCAGATCAGAGGAGCCCTTGGCACACCACACGTGCACGGACAAAGACATTCCAAAAACTTCCAGTAACAATAACAACTAGAGAAGCAATTTCTGAAGAAATTGCAGGTGTGAATGCTTCAAGCTGAAGCCACGCTACAATGCTGCCTTGAATACAATAAAGTTTGAATGATTTGAATGTTTGAAAGTTTGTTGAAAAGCTGGCGCCACACTGAATAGCTGCCTTTAATAAAATAAAGTTTGAATGATTTGAATATTTGAATGTTTTACTGAGATTTATGAAATCCAATATGGCCGCCGCCTAGTGACGCCACAATATGCAAATTAGATGAGTTAATTTACTCCCATCAGATTCCTCTTCCTTTATTTTGAGGATGAGATGACAAAAACAGCACAAAACAAAAGAAATC